CTCGGGAAGAGAACAATTTGTTAAGATTGGTGATACTCAGTCATCAAACTTGGCTGTGACCAATGGTGTCCCACAAGGATCTGTGTTGGGACCAATATTGTTTTTACTTTATTTAAATTATATTAATCACCTCCCCATTAGAGCTAAAATAACATCATTCGCTGATGACATTACTCTGTCCTGGAACGGAAAAAATATTGAAGAGTTGAAAAAGATTATTTCTGAAGACCTAAATCTTGTAAAGAGCTGGTGTGACTCTAACTTGCTTTGTTTTAACTCTAAGAAAACCAACATATTGACATTTAAATTTTTTTTTGATGATTTATTATTAGACACACACACAATTGAAAATAAAACTAGCTGTAAATTTCTTGGTGTTCATGTTGATACTCAACTTAAGTTTAATGAGCACGTTACAAATCTAAACAAACGATTGGCAAGTGGTTGCTATGCTGTAAGAATAGCGTCAAATGAACTTGGTTTGAATACTGCTAAGTTGGTTTATTTCTCGTTGGTTGAATCTCATATCAGGTATGGCATTGCATTTTGGGGTAACTGTTCTAATAAATTGTTTGATTCTGTTTTTGTCATTCAAAAGAGAGCAGTGCGCTATTTGTGTAAGGTTGGATATTGGGAGCATTGCAAGCCACTATTTTTAAAACATAAAATACTTACAGTGTGCTGTATATTTATCATGGAAACTGCTTGCCTTATTCACAAAAAACATTATGATGAGTTAGAATATCCAAGAACTTATCCAACTAGGCAACTTCTTAAAATTCAGCTTCCTATACCCAAGACTGCATTGGCGCAAAATTCACTAATTTATAAAAGTAGGCAAATTTTTAATCATCTGCCTGTTAACTTAAGGCAGATAGGTGGTTTTAAAAAGTTTAGACTAGAGCTCAAAACATTTTTACATGGAAAAGCCTACTATCATATTAATGAATTTTTAAATGAAAAATTTTAATTTTGTTTGTTTCATTGTTTTGTTTTGTTCTGACCGCAACCTTTATGTTTTTTCTGTATTGGCTGTACCTTCTATATGACTCTATAGTTTGATGTAGTAAAAATTGTACATGTGTTGCTTAGGATTATGCTTTGACATTTATGTTTATGTTTATTTTTTATTTTATTGATTGTACCTCTTTTTGTTTTTTTATAACCCGATAATTTTTAATTACTTGCACATTATTTAAGATCATGCTTTGTCAATGAAATTTATTTTTCCGACAATAAAGTATATTTTGATTGATTGATTGAAGAAGAGATTACGAAAAAACCACAGTGATGAGCTCAAAGCAGAATACATTCATTACAGAAGTACAACTACTGTAGAGAAACAGAAGTACAACTACTATAGAGAAAAGATTGAAAGCAATAAAAGTAATATAAAAAACATGTTTAAAATAATAGCAGACGCTACAAACGGTAAGGGGAAAAATTCTAAAACTAATTACACATTTGTTGATGAAAATAATATTAAATTTGATAATAACATAGACATGACCAATGCTTGTAACAAATACTTTGCTGACATTGGCACGGAAATGGGAGAAAAAATAAATACCCCACTAAACCCTCTTATTGTAAATGAAAGCCTTCAGTCGTCATTATTCCTAAGCCCTATCACAGAAAACGAAATCATAATACAAATATCAGCGTTAAAAAATAACAGGGCACCAGGTAAGGATGGTATATGCTCAAAGCTAATAAAATTTGTACATTTGGAGATAACAAAACCCTTAACTTACATTATGAATCTAATTTTTAAAACAGGTAAAGTGCCCAGTCAATTTAAGGAATCCATAATTACTCCAATATACAAAAGTGGTGAAAAGAATAAAATACAAAACTATCGCCCTATTAGTCTAATAAACAACTTTGCAAACATTTTTGAATTGTGTTTGAAGGAACGTCTTATTGCATTTTTTGAAAAACACAACGTTCTATCCGAAAATCAATTTGGATTCTCGAAGGGCTTAAGCACAACTGACGCAATGTATTCTTTAATCACGGATGTAATAGTAATTTGAATGAAAGCAAAAAAACAATAGCTGTTTTTCTTGACCTGGCAAAGGCTTTTGATACGGTGCCACACCTGAAGCTTTTGGAAGTGCTGTCCCAGTGTGGTGTCCGAGGCAGGGTATTGAAACTATTTGAAAGTTATTTATGTGACAGAGACCAATATCTTAAGTTGAATAACACACTCAGCCAAGCCTTAAAAATTAAAATAGGGATACCACAAGGCACAATTTTGGGACCAATACTATTCATAACTTATATAAATTCGTTACTTAAATTGAATGTTAATGGAAAAATAATATCTTACACAGACGATTGTTGTGGTTTTTTCGGGTGCTACATGGGAAGAAACAAGAGAAAAGATGATCAGAGGTTTGAGGATTGTAAAACTGTGGCTTGAATCTTTCAGATTGTCCCTGAATTTATCTAAAACTAATTATATAGCATTTTCATTAACTAACACAAACATTTTGAAACTATTGAGATGGGCGTTGAGGGGGAGGATGCCGTTCAGTCAGTCTCAAAGACAAAGTATCTAGGGATAATCATTGATCAACACTTAAAGTGGACAGAACACATAGATTATCTTACAAAGAAAATTCGTTGTCTAATCCCAAAATTTTATGTACTGAGAGAATTTCTGTGTTCCAAACTAACTACAATGGTTTACAAGTCACTGGTCGAATCTTTGATTCGCTATGGTCTGGTGATATGGGGTGGCACATACAGAAGCAACTTGCAACCTTTAAAAATTATTCAAAACTACATTTTAAAAGTAACATTCAAAAGGAAAACATTATATCCAACCAGATTATTGTATAGCGTGGATGTTTGCAATATAGAATGCAGGGATCGACGGATACCGATATGGCATATCGGTATATCGGCGTATCGGCCTTTTTCAGGTATATCGGTGTATCGGCATATCGGCCCTTCATTGGCCGATAACTTTAGACCGATACAAATCATACTTTGAAGATCAGTAATCATCACTAAGGCTTTTTTGAAGCTTAAAAGAGCTAATAATTGTGGTTGGTACATATGGGAGTGACTAAGAAGAAAGTAAATATTAGAAATTGTTTCTCATAAATTTATTTTAAATTAATTAGGTTTTCATATAAAAAAAAAACTTAACATTCTACTTATCTAAACTCAAATTCATATAAAAAAAAAACTAAACTTTCGGCTTATCTGAACTCGAACAAACAATATTAAAACTAGGAGAAAACAAATAAATAAAAAATTCAAACTAAAGGAAAAGGTGCGAGAAAATAAATAAAACATTCAAACTAAAGGAAAAGGTTGGAGAAAACAGACTTTAAGAGGGCTTAAAGCACTTTTGGGAGCTTGAAGCACTTTGAAAGGGCTTGAAGCACTTTAAAAGGGCTTGAAGCACTTTAAAAGGGCTTGAAGCACTTTAAAAGGGCTTGAAGCACTTTGAAAGGAATTTGAATTGACCATCATTCAACCTATCCCCCACTTAAAAAATTTCGATCGTATTTTGTCCTTTAATTTTTTTTTCTATTATTTGAACTTGAACCGTCTTATGTCTTTTCTCTCTTAACAATGGAGGTTTTGGGTTTGAGCTTAGAATGGAATTAAAAAAAAAAAAATGAATGAACTTATTATTTTTCCCCATTGAACATTTTGAAAACCTTAAAATTGAATTACCATGTAGTACCCCAACTACCCCAAGTACCCCAGAACTACATCTCAAAAAAAACATACTACTGCTACTCTGTAAAATGTAAAGTTCGTCTCTACTATACCAATTCTGTGGGATGAGTGTACGCGGTAGCTTATGCCACTTTGAGAATTTTATTACAAATCAAAGTGCTTTAGGCACATATAAAGAGCTTCAAGCACATTTAAAGAGCTTGAAGTACATTTAAAGAGCTTGAAGCCCTTTTCAAGGCACCCCAAGCACTTTTGATGTGCTTCAAGCACTTTTCAAATCACTTTGAGGGCTTTGTGCTTGTCAAGCCCAAAGCACTTTGAGGGCTTTGTGCTTGTGAAGCACTTTTGAAAATAAAAAGGAATTTGTGATTGAAATTGAAGCACTTTGATGAGGGCTTAGGGCTTAGTGCTTCAAGCCCTTTTACTGAGGGCTTTGCCCAGCTCTGCTATAGACCACTATCATCAGACTAGAGCCAATATGGACAATCATCTAACCATCCTAATTAACAGGAAGACTGTGAATCTAAAATTTGCAGATTATCTTGGCCCAAAATTTTATAATCAACTACCTAATAATATAAAGGCTATTAATAGAATTAAGTCATTTAATAGTGAGAGCAAAACTTTTATTGTAAATAATTCTAAAATATTTCTATTTCTAGAATAATGATATGAGACACACATAGAACAACACTTGGTTTACTGACCGCATTATTTATCTTTACTTGTATTTATATTTGTATTTGAATTTATATTTGTAAAAAAGGAGTCTATTTTTACAAGGATTAAACTATTTTAAGCATGTTGCAATTTAAGGGAAACATACAGATGTGCAAACATCTAGGTGACCCATTAACTTTTCATAAATACCTATTAAGTATTGTTATTGAATGTTATTAGTGAATGAATCCTGTGAAAATTGTATGTGCAAATAAATAAAAATATCTGGTTATTACTGGGTGTCAAGTTATGCAGTACCACCCCCTGTAACTTTTTTATGTACGGTTGCAAATAAAAAAGTTACATGGGGTACTTGACATCCTGTATCTTAAAATTCACAAATTAGATCAGATCACATTTCTTGTATTTGATATTATTTAAAATATCTTATGTAAGTATGTTACAACCTGAATTTTCGTTCTTGTATCCGGAAAAACTTGAAATACATGGGGATTTTGGAAACAATTGAAAATAACAGGGTGGACCAAATACAAACTATTGTAGAAATTTATCCAATACAGACAGTTTGCTTTGGATCAATTTAAGGCAAAGAAACAAGTCTCGAAACAATTACTTACAGCAGCAGCATTGCCCCCTAATTGCATCTGACGTATTTGCAGCTGTGTCCAGTTGGTATCCAATTGTGTGGAACGTACAAAACTCAAATGGACCCCCAAACTTCTATGGACGGCTGAGCAATCCAGACACAAGAAGACTCCATAGGATACACTGGACCATGTTGGATTGTTTGCTCCACAATCGAAACAGACCTATAATAATTGCATGGTATTTCAATTTAATAAATGGAACAGGTTGTAGAAGTAGACAAGACACGTCATGGGATTTTTAGGGATAATTACTAAAAGGAATTTTAAATGTTTGTTTACCTTGTTTGACGAAATGGACCTCAGTCTGTAAAAAACAGTTTCGATGTCTTCTTTTGCTAGTTGACTGGACATTTTTATATAATTTCAAATAATAATAAAATGGTAATTTAATTTAATTTGTTTTTTAATTTCTAGCAAATTTTCAAAGAAAATTTTAACTTTTGTTGACGTGATGACGTGACACTGTGACACTGACAACTGGTACAGTTCACTGCTTTTTAGGTAAAGTACAAAACACTAAAAGCAAATACACAAGAGTGAGAGAGATAAGTAGATTGTGGGTAAAATTTGTGGCCGCAAACTTAGTTTTGTGCGTTTTTTTTTTTAAGTTCAAATTGAGCTCCTATCATTCAACTATAGTAGTTTTCTTATTTCAGCTACCAAGATTATGAAAAATGCCTGAATTAAGACCTACAATCATAATTAATTGTTATATTGAAAAATCCACTTTTCAGCCTCTTTTTGCAAAGACTTGAACTACGAAAATATACATTCTACATATAAGTAGTTTTTATTATCGTAAAGGAAAAGTAGATCGAACTACACCTTTTCCATGTGTAATTGCGAATATATCACTTAATTTTGGAAACAGTAAAATAATATTGCGAATAAATCAAATATAATTGAGAATAGTCACTTGATATTGCAAATATATCAAATGTAATTGAGAAAAATAAAATCTAATTGCGAATACATCAAATGTAATTGAGAATAGTTAAGTGTAATTGCGAATATATCGTATGTAATTGGGGGTAATCAAATAAAATTAGTAATAAATCAGATATAATTGAGCCTTTTAATTTTTCATTCAACATCTGTAGGTATGTTATTGCTTAAATAACCCACTAAACAATGTAATATCGCTTTAATATTTTAGTAATGTTTCTAGATAATATTGTAATATTTCATTTTTTATTGCTGCTATATAAGTGCAAGGTTGCTGCAATTACTGAAACGGACTTATTCTAATATTCACAAATGCAATGTTTACAGAATAAACTTTTCTGCAATATCGCCTCAATCTTGTATTTTCATAAAAAATACATTATGTTTGTAACATTTAAAATGCTAGCTTACAGAAACCTGCATTTAACGTTGTTTATAAACTTAGATAAATATTACAGTTGTAATATTTTTATTGGCACTTTACAGAAATTTACATAATGAAATATTGTATATATGATAGATATGTGTAGGTATTCAATATATCGTGAGGATTTGCATTGTTGCAAGATCCTTTATTTTTAAATTTCCTTTTCTGCCAGTCCAACTACAGACTGGGGCACAATCGTTAGTTAATAAACTTCCAATTTCCAATTGATCTTATCACACATGCCTCGATTCTTCCAACATAGGTATTGTAAAAAAGCCACCTAAAATTGAAAATTAAAAAATCACAAAAAATTAAAATGTTAAAATCTTACATTGGCTTTATTACTTTCCCTCTTCCAACATCTCAAGATCTTGATGAATCCTTTCGTCCTGTTCAACTCTCTGTTATTATTGTCCTACTGGTTTTTCAGTTTTTGGTAGCGTGGCGTCAACAACCAATAAAAAATGGGTGGTGCGTCTGCGCCATTCCGAATTTCCAAACAATTGTTCTGTCCTTGTCAGTAAAATATATTTTTGCATGACAGAGACAAAGACAATAGATTGCAAATAAAATCTATCTGCAAGTTTTATGCAACATTGAGAAAATTTATGTTTCCTATTTCAAAGTTAATGTTGAAATATTTATGTAACATTTTTTATTCTTGACACGGTTAACATACGCATGTAAAGGTATCTGCAACATTACATCGACAGTTTTAAGAAAAGTTGAACTTACAATATTTATGCAACCATTTATTTTAATATATTTTTTTTTTATGTTCCAAACGTTAATATTTCCGCAACATTAAAGCGACAGAGTTGAGAAAAGTTACATTTTATAACATTGTTATAATATTTGCTTTAGTTACATTTTATAATGTTTCAAATGTAAATACATTATTGTATCTACTGCAACATTTACTTAGTAACTAAAACTAATGTTTCTCTATTGAAGTTATATTAAATTTATATCCCTTTACATTGGATAAGTAATATTTCAGAAAGCTTATCATCACATTACCTAATAAATTTTCTAAAGCAAGGTCGATACAATATTGCCGACAAATTTTGCAACATTACATGTTTAGTGGGAACTAAGTCTGTTGTTAAAGAACGCTTTTGTTCACATATACATATAGGTAGTTTTGTGTCAAAGGAAAGGAAAATCAAATTCCATTTGATTATGCCCAATTGCAATTGATATATTCCCAATTACACTTAACTTTTCTCAATTTACATTTGATATATTCGCAATTACATTCAACTTTTCTCAATTACATTCAATATAGTGTCGGGTCGGACTTTTGTTAGAAATCCAATCCTAAAGCGAAAATATACTTTTATATTTTCTTACCAAGATCTTCCTTGTTTTCCTATCCAAAACTTCTAATAACCATTAATTCAAAAGAAACTAGATAATCAGCTTAAATCAAATTTATTTCTATGAGATGAGCGAAGCGAAAATATAATTATTTGATAGATAATTGGATATTGAGTTCAAATAATAAAGATAATCTTAAGTTTCAAATAAGTTCTTACTTGCTAGAATAATGGGATTAAATATAAGACAAAAATATGTAACTTCTAAATCATACGTACAATTCGAGAAAGAAATAATAAATAAAATACCACTTACGGTGTTGGCGGAAAGTAGAGTTTTTCCGGAATAAAGTTGTAGGCTTCCATCACTAGTTTGAATAAATTTAACTGAGCTATATTAATTTCAAAATGCAAACTAGCAGAGTAACTTTCTGCACTAAGAGTTAAGTAAGAGCTACCCACTTTACGCCAACATGCATTTTTATACAAAATTTTCATCAGGAAAATTACCCTCACTATCACTATCCTACCTTCAGTGTCGTACCATGATTTGTTACCATTTGTACAAAATTAATAAATAACATGTTTAATCCCTAAAACACAAGTTAGAATGAGACAATCATAAAATTATGGCTGACTTAGCACATTTCCAGCTTAGTCTGCAATAATACTAGCGGAAAACTCGCCCCTCATACACATTCCCACTCTCCTAGATGTAATCCTGTTGTCCTCCCATTGGTACTACGTCAACTTCCAAAATCCCACCATTCATACGGAGGAGGATTCAACTGGAACTGTTGAGACTAGGCAAGCCATAGGGAAGTCATAACCATAGGCGGAGAATTATTTTTCTGCCGTTGGCTAATTCCCGACAATAGTCGCAATATCACTTGACTATTCGCAAAATCAATTGATGCATTCGCAATATAAATTGCTATATTCGCAATTATATGTGGAAAAAGTGTAGTAATAATAACAAAGAAAATAGTACATTATATACCTAGATATAGAGAAGTTGGTCATTATATACCGAGCGCTTTCATAATCCGAGGCGCGAAGCGCCGAGGTTTATAATGCGTAAGGTATATAATGACTTTCTCTACCGAGGGATAGGTACATAGAATTTTTTTTACTACTGCTGGTCGAAAATAAAAAATAGGTTTGGAACCTGTGCTCAAATTATTTTCTCTTGTCGGAAGTGCTGTCGTCTATCAACAGCTTACGGTAATTTCCTATAATGTACATACAAGAACCTGCTTTTTTTAAAATTGACAGTTTGACACTGAAATTAAACCAATAGAAACCTGTTACGTTATGACAATATCCTTGCGTCATGACGTCATTTTCATTATTGACCTAAATATTTTTTCATTATTTTCACTATTAACCTAGGGAGAGAAATTCAATTTTTTCCCAGAAAAATTGATGGAATAATAGGTCAGTTTCTGCAGAAATCACAAACCAGTCAGAGTGAATTTCATTAGTTGAAACTAGTTTTCTGACTGTTTTCAACCAATGAAAATTGCTCTGACTGGTTTTGTGATTTCTGCAGAAACAGACCTAATGACTAATTCTCAGGTTAGTAGTAAAAAAACTACTTTACGCACTGGTGCGTGACATTTTATGTCTTCTAAAAGGTGCGTAACGTAAGTACTTTACGCGCGGTAGTGGAAAAAAATAATTATTGCGCCTTCATTTACAGTCGGGAATGAGATGTTGTACCAATACTTATACAGGGTGGTCCATTTAAATTGAGACATTTCAATATCTCGAAAATGGCGCGTTTTTGAAAAAAAAAGTTCAATAATGTCTTAAGTTTAATGGCCCACCCCCGTATACCTATTTTATATCGTGTGCTAGAAACTTAAAATTCCCAATTTTTGATTGAATATGAAAATTTTGCGACTAAATAATAAAAGAAAAAGTAAAGTACTGTTTTTTTTTTTTTTTTGAAGATAATTCCCCAAGTCAAAAATTTAGTAACTTAGCAACTCAAGCCTTTTCTACATAAAAAAAATTGAAAGCATCGACAATTTAACATTGTTTTGCCAACATAATGTCATTTTGACTTTTATCTTTAAAAAAAAAAACAGACTTTGAAAATTCCGCTTTCCGCTTCTACCCTTTTTGCGAACGAAAATAGAAAATTTCCTCAAAAAGGCAAAAAGGGGATAATTCCGTCAAGCTGGCAACACTGTGGTGGCTGACTCGTTATCAAACGCAAGGATATCAACAAAGCATTTGATAGGTTGGATATAGGCCCCGCCCCTTTCCAATCAGATGCGGGTGATATCAGCAAGGCATTTAATTGGTTAGTTGAGCCCCGCCCCTTTCCGCGGTTTATGTATCGTCAAGGTATTTGATTGGTTGTTTTCTTTTCAACCCTTTCCAATGGCCCTGGCCCATCTACAGTGACTTCAGCTTTTCAAATAGAAATTTGGTACCGCCGCCATATTCTTGCAAATTTAGAATATAATAGAAGTTAACCACGCCCCTGCTGCCATATTTTTGCAAATTTTTTGATGTTTACTCAGGTAGGTATTAGGTATTATTAATATTATTATTATATATATCAATTTTTTCCTAGAAAAATAGATTGAATAATGACTATTTCTCAGGTTAGTAGTAAAAAAAGATAATTATTAGTACTAAATAATACATAATATAATATAGTATATTTATAAAAAATTACAAGTTATTTGGTCCCATGTGCATTTAAAATTATAATTATTAAACTTTCTTATCACAAATTGTTACTCTCTTATACAAATGATAGGTAACAAATTAATTATGTCTAAATCTTAAACCAATATAATTAATTCAAACATATTATGTTATTGCCTACATCTATTCTTAAACTTGCTGTTAATCCTCCGTATCACTTGATACTCGTTATCGTAAACGTCCGGAATGCACATTTGCACAAACTCATTAAAAACCATCTGAACTGAACCGTTTATAAACATGTCCTTTTCGTATTCGATCAGTTGCTTGAAAAAGCCGCAATTCGGTTTGATTCTGGGCCTTCGCATTTTAACGTAGTCGTAGGCCTCTTTGAGGGTGAGCTGATGGTATTTCATTAGGTAGGCTATGCAAAGGGTTGCTGATCTGCTCACCCCTGCTACGCAGAAAACTAGACAGCAACCTCCAGTAGAAGAAACCTGAAATGAATAGAACCATTTTAAATATTTGTTCCTATGTAGTTCAAATAATTTATTTCGTCATAAAGCCTAGCAAACATGTAGAAACATCTTTGAAACGTCGTAAAAACATTTTTCTAAGACATTTTGAAGAAGTCTTCAACAAGATATGTCTTATAAAGACGTCTTTTAAATTCATAAACCATTATTCATATTTCAGATCCGGTTATGCCAACTATATAGTGGTTCAGTTGAACTATAATATTGGTACTTAATCTTTTTCCAGCAAAAATGTATTGATGTTAAAAAATGTATACTTATGAACGTCTTCAAAATAACATCTTCTAAGACGTCTTTTTTTTGGTCTTAAGACGTTCAGACATACCTAATGCAAACCTCCACTTAATGAAAACCTCTTCGTCTATAAGACTTTGTGTGTTGTCTGTGAAAAAGTACCTATACCTACCTAAACTCTAAACCTCTATGCTCTAAACTATTTTAAAATAGAGTTTATTATATTGTTTAAAATATAGTCACAGTGTTTTTTCAAAGACGAAATAAGACTATTTAATTATTATTCTGTGCATTTTGTTCCAAATTTCTACCATATGTTTATGTTTTTGCAATGTGTAACGAAAATTGCTAACACATGCGGAGTATGTAGTGTAAAGAGGTGGACATAAAACCAAAATTGTGTAGGAAAACTATACAGGGTGATGGACCAACAATGATATAACGATACTATACAATTTCTGGATATTTTGATATCTGTTACGGATTTCAAGATATGGAAACTTAGAGATTTTTAAATAAAAATCCAAAAGGGATATTCTCTTAAAAAAGTTGAAACTTTATAATTTTCTATAGGTATTTTTCTAGTTTATATCCTTCCAATGTAGGTATACATACCTTCCAGTACTGAAACGATGAAATTTAAAAAAAAATTCTAGTGAGATTTTGTGTCCTCAAACTTTATACACTAAATTATTCTGAAACTTGAAGACGAAATCTATAAAAAAAGGCACTCAGAAAAATTGAAAAATTGATAAATCACCCCAAATTGCTTAACGATTTTATCTCAGGAACTATACCGGCAAATGAGCTGGAATTTTCAGGGATTGTAGTCCTTTGAAAGGGATAAAATTTAGTGACAGTTTCAGCTTTCTATCTATAATAGAAAAAAAGTTATGACTTTTCAAAGTTTTCCAAAATCTAAATCATAAGGTACCTAAGGTTCGTTTCACCAGGGTTCATACTTGACTTTGAAACTTGAAAAAAAAAGGGTTGTCATAGATTAATTTATATGACACATTCAATTTTTTGACAATTTAAAATGAATGACTTCTGGTTTAAGAACCGACGAACGTTTTTGACGTCTTTGATTTGTTTCAGTCAATTTTTATTTGTTAAACAAGGAAGGCAAATGCTGGTGGCAAGTACAAACCCTGGCGAAACAAACTTTAGGTAAGTACCTTCTTACTAAAACGATGAAATTTCAATTTTTTTATCGTCGAGATTTTGTATCCTAATGGTCAATCAACATCCCCCAAACTCCATACACTAAATTATTCTCAGATTTGAAGCCGAAATCTATGAAAAAAGGCACTCAAAAAAATTGAAAATATGATAAATCACCCCAAATTGCTTAACACGATTTTATCTCAGGAACTATAAGTGCAAATGAGCTGAAATTTTCAGGAACTGTAGTCCTTTGAAAGGCATAAAATTCATTGAAAGTTTCAGCTTTCTATCTATAATAGAAAAAAAGTTATGACCTTTCAAAGTTTTCCAAAATCTAAATCATAAGGTAGCTAGCTACCTTTGTACTAAAACGATGAAATTTCAATTTTTTTTTTGTCGAGATTTTGTATCCTAATGGGTAATCAACATCCCCCAAACTCCATACACTAAATTATTCTCAGATTTGAAGCCGAAATCTATAAAAAAAGGCACTCAGAAAAATTGAAAAATTGATAAAACCACCCCAAAATGTTTAACACGATTTTATCTCAGGAACTATTAGTGCAGATGAGCTAAAATTTCAGGGATTATAGTCCCTTGATAGGGATTAAATTCAGTGAAAGTTTCAGCTCTCTATCTCTAATAGAAAAAAAGTTATGACCTTTCAAAATTTTCCAAAATCTAAATCATAATTAGGTAGGTACCTTTTTACTAAAACGATGAAAAAGTTCCTTTAACAAATTCCAGTAAAGCAAAATTAACTATACAAGAATCAGTATCAAAGTCTGATACAAAAAAAGTTATTACTGCCAATTAAAAATTGTATAAAAACAAAAAACCCCGAAATTCCTAACCCACTGATTCATTTTCTCTTTGAGTGAGTTTATTTTTAAATTCCCATGAAAATATTTGCGGAATTCCAAACCAACTTAATAAAAGTGGAAAAAATAGATTGCGAAAGTTCCAAAATAAACTTTTTTGAACATTTAGGAATGTAAAAAAACATTAAAATGTGTATTTGCCAAAATTATAATTAGGTATATCCTCAGGTAAAATATTTACTCACCTTATTTATAAGATCGGCAGCTTCATCCAAAAAACTACCTATATGCGAATTAGGTGAATCCATTACATCAATTCTATGGTAAGTAATGTTGGTTTTCAATGGTATTGCTGGTAGTTCTGGAGCTGCACTTATAACACAAGTTACACCCAGTTTTTGGATAATGTCTGGAACTACATTAGCTGCAGAGGTCAAGATCAAGTGTTCAGTCAATATCGAAATGTTTCTATTTTCTGTTATAAGGTTTTCTTTAGGATATAGTCTTGAGTAAAGGATTCTGTAAAAAAAAAAGACTTGTGTGTTAAATTGGCAAACCTTCCAAAATGTTTGATAAATTACAGGTTGGAGATAAATATTTATGTGTTTAAATATACAATAGTTATGACGCCAGTTTTTTCTGTAACGCAAATAAACTAATGACGTTTTTTTTTTTTTTTTGAAAGAAAAAACATGTGACGAAAAGTGTTTTGAATTTTTCTAAATCTAAAATTAAACACAAGAAAGAACAGTTTTTATTGATTTAATAAAAATAGTTTTTTCTCTTTTAAAAATATACTTAAATCTTATTGGTAGCCATATTAGGCTAGTCAATGAGGCTTCGGAATTAACAATAATTACAAACAATGTGAAATTTAGGTTTTGTATGACAAAAAAATAAATTATAAAAATTTGCACCTGCCAGTGACGTACGCAACATTGTTTTTTTTTTTTGTAAAAATTAAACAATTATTAATTACTTCGTCCCAAAAATTGCTAACAAAGTGCAAATTTACAAAAACGCGACGACTGATCTTCCAAATCTTGTATTAATTTTGCACCTTTTTTCATTAGGCGGAACACAATGAAAAATTATTTATTGTTAAAATTACATGGTTTTCGGAAAAAATGCTTACAAGGTGCAAATTAGGATGATGCACCGTAAATGCCAAACAAATAATTGTATAAATTTGCCCCTTTCAATCTCCTTGGGAAAGGAGCGATTTGCATTATCATATGTGAAAAAACACCATTATTTGGAGGGAAAATTGCTAACGATTTAAAAACTAGGTGCAAATGTTCAAATTGATTGCCAGAATGTTATGCAATATTTGCACCCAAAAATATTAAGTGGCAACATTAAACCTTTTTTTTCTAATTTTTGTTTTTTACCATAATTATTGACAGGGTGTAAATCACAATAGCAATTTCAAATAATATTTCAACCCTTACTTCGAGTTTTCACCCCTATATGAAGCACGGAATAAAAAATATCTCCAAAATATCACTCAAATAATATTTTTAATATTTTAAACTTATTCCGTGCTTCATATAGGGGTGAAAACTCGAAGTAAGGGTTGAAATAATATTTAGAATGGCGCTGTTGTGATTTGCACCCTGTTTGTAATTCTCTCGATGTCAATTAAATAATTATTGTAAAAAACAAAAATCAGAAAAAAAAGGTTTCCACTTAATATTTTTGGGTGCAAATGTTGCATAACATTCTGGCAATCAATTTGAACATTTGCACCTAGTTTTTGAATTGTTAGCAATTTTCCCTCAATATAATACTTTTTAACAATAAATAATTTTTCATTGTGTTCTGCCTAATAAAAAAAGGTGCAAAATTAAGATTTAGAAGATCAGTCGTCACGTTTTTGTAAATTTGCACTTTGTTAGCAATTTTTGGAAAGAAGTAATTAATAATTGTTTAATTTTTACAAAAAGAAACAATGTTCCGCACGTCACTGGAAGGTGCAAATTTTTATAGTTTTATTTTTTTTTTGTCATGCAAAACGTAAATCCTAAATTCTACATTGTTTGCAATTATTGTTAAATCCGAATTAAGCCTCATTGACTGGCCTATATACCTAAGGAAAGTTTATTTTGTCTCAATTTTGATTTTTCTAATTTGAAAAATATGGCTAATATAAGAAAATTATATAGGTATTTAGTGCAAGAATGTTGAAAAAGATTTGAATTTTAATTGTGCGTACAGGGTTGTTTCCGTATATTTTGACAGCATTATAGCTCGCTTATGAAGCAATATAGGTGAAACCACAGACCTAATAATACTAAGAGACCCAATTGTTTACATTTTTAGGGTTAGCCATCATTGTCCCTTCCACTTTCAATGCCTATACAACCGTAGCCAAATTTACAAATTTATCGGAAATATATGGGTAAATTTATTACAAATAAGATAAAACTTGAGCGATTTTAATATAATTTGCATGTATTTGTCACCATCTAATAAAAGATAATCATATAATTTATTTTGGTAATTAATTGGTTAATTATCAAATTAAATTTTTCAATATAACGTATATTATTTTGAAAATAATTATTCTCATACTAAAATAAAAGCAACATGACAACGTTGTTTACAACTCTACGTTTGGCGGGCGGCTTGTCAATGAATTTATTGTGTGCGACGTTGCCTTCGAGAACCTGCGAATTATTGCTGTGTTTACATTTATTTTTTCAAATATTTTACTTTTTTGGGATATTTTTGCGATTTTTTTGGAAAAAAAACCTTATTTATTTAAGAATTATGGTTCGTGGCTGTGTCGTTTGTGGAAAAGTGGATTATTTATTTCCGGATTTAACTTTTCATAGGTAAGTGAGGTTATGTAGATAAAATAATCTTGTTTGGATTACACAGTGGCGGGGATTTTTGTACTTGTACTTATACTAATTATGTATTATTATAATATTGCTTATTCATTTGCATTATTCAAATAGTTTCTTAAATATTTAAGTTTGTCATAGAAAATAATATGTAATAAAATCGGTAAATGTACAATGTACCTATTTCCTCTAGGAAGAAATAATAAGTAAACCAGAAAGGTTCCCTTTGTGCCTTCTCATCTAGGTGCAGGGAGAATTCTTCTATGAATTTCTTTTCTCTTAGGCCCCATATTTGTAGTGTAAACAATCATTAAAATCTGTTGCTTGATTCTGATTTATTTTTAAGCTCCACGATAAAAGTGCAGGAGCCTAAATCTGGAGTATTATCTCTATATTATGCTAAGCCTCATTATTGCTTCTCTTACATTTTGTTTGTTTTCCAAATTAGGTTTCCTCAGGATCTAGAAAAACGAAAATTATGGTTTTCTTTAGTTGGTATTGCAAAAGGACAAGTGTTGCCAAAAAATCCATGGTTGTGCTCGGATCATTTTTTTCCAGAGGATCTGGCAATTAAATCTAATGGAGTAAGATTTGTTAGAAAGGGTGCCAATCCTCGACGTTGTGAAGGTGTTTTATTTATGGATGATGCATCTATCAGGTAAAAAATATTTTAAATTTTATCTGTAGGTACCTAATGATAATTTATATTTTTCCAGCTCTAGCTCAACTGTTTTTGGAACACCTCCACTTCCAAAAGAAAATACCGAGAAAAATACTAAGTAAGTACCTATCTGTTATTTTAAATTAGAAAAAAACTGTCTCAGACTATACAGGGTGTCCTTAGATAAACTGACACATTTTGTAGGTAAATATTTCGAAAACGGGAAAAGATAACGAGATGCGGTTTGTTCTGGGAGCATAAGGATTTTTTAAAGTTTTTTTTCACATCATTGCCGAATCCTAAAATTTGCTGAAATTTGGTTCTACAGACATGCGATTTTTTGAAATAAGATGACTGCCTTATTTTTAATGAAACACCCTGTATATTTTGTCATCGTGAGAAAGCCTGATATTTCTACTTTACAAAAATGTATAATGTTTTCCAATTATCTCCACCTTGCATCGTGAAAATTGCACTTTGTCGGAGAGAATACCATCGACTAACCAAAAAAAAAATGAGAATTAATTTGTGTTTAATACTTTTATTAACTAATTAGCGCATAGTTAACTAATAATACAAGTAATAAACACAAATAAGTGCATATAAAACACAAATTAATTATTATCATTTTTTTTTTGGCCAGTCCAGGGTACACTCTTCAACAAAGTGCAATTTTTACGATTCAATCTCATGATAATTGGAACAAATTATACATTTTTGTAAAGTAGAAAAGTCATACTTTCTGACGATGAAAAAATATACCAAGAGTTTCATCAAGAATAAGGCAGTGTGTTATTATTGCAAAAAATCGAATGTCTGAAAAACATAATTTCAGGACTCGTTAATACCATGAAAAAAAACTTTGAAAAATCCTTGTTCTTCCAGAACAAACCGCATCCCGTTAGCTTTTCTCGTTTTCGAGATATTCACCTGTAAAATGTGTCAGTACAGGACACCCTGTATAGTGGTCTATGTAGATGTATTAAACGCTGTTATACCCATTTTTAAAATTATTATGGAGTCTCCTGTTCCGACCTCTAATATTGGTTCTGAAATCAAAAAGAATGCTTTATGAAAGCTTTTTTAATGTGCAAATAATTTTAATTATTGAAATTTATTCTAGGTCTGAAAATATTATTGATTTCTGTGATTTGACATCCATGCCTGGTCCTTCAAGAGCTACAGAAACTGTTTCACTAGAAGACAATGATAGTTCTGCTACAGAAACTGCATCAGAGATATGTGGATCACATTCTGAATTAAATGAGGCAACTTCAGCCAGTGCAAAAATTCAAAGCAAAAAGAGGTAATTACTACACCATACACCATCAATGTAATATGAATAAACTGCTTGCCAAAAAAGAACAGGACAAGCAATTTTTAGCACCATATTCAATTTTTGTAATAACTTTTTTTCAATAATTTTTTTTGAATGAGGTTTTTTGAATTCGTAAGCCCATGTTGTAGGTATATCTCGTGGGAAAAGCTAATTTTTTGAAGGAATGCATTTCCTCGTGCATTTCTCAAGTAATATACAGGGTGAATAATAAACTGATGCAAAAGTACAAAGTTAGATGTTGGCAATATTTCTTTTCTTATATTTTTATATAGGCGATTAGTAAGTTAATATCAATATCTCGAGACGTTTTGACCAGTTTTTTGATAAGTGCCCTTTGGCAGCAGATAGGCTACTAAACAACAAAGGCAGTAAAATGTTGTGAACATGCATAATATTTAGAGGGCTGTAGCTTGAAAACGATATATCGATTTCAACAGCATTGCAGGTTTCGAAAGCTTATTTTTTTAGAGGTTCCGCAACACTTTTACAGTGGGGGAAAACATTTCCCAATCCATTAAAATGTGAGGTACATAGTTCCAACGTAGTGGTTCTAAAGGGATCACCACCACCAATTTTCAAAGAGATAAAAGGCATACAGACAAATTTGAATAGGCTTAAAAAGAACATTATCATAATTTGCCTAATTTGAGGTTTATGATTTGCTTCAGTCTATAATTCACCATGTATATAATAAATGATCTCGGAAACAGTGAGAGATACAGGGTTGGTTAAATTGGTGCAAAGTTGGGTGATTTGATGCTTAACAAAATTCCTCTTTGATAGGATATTCCGAATACTTACGGAGATATCCGGAAAAAACCGAAAATTTGCAAAATTGTTTTTATTTTTTCCTGACTTTATTTGATGTGATATTTCAAAAAAAATATTACTTCATCATAGCCACTTTTTCTCCCCTACAAGATGCTATCATCAAATTTGAAATCTGACGTTTCGTCTTCGAGCCACCATCATCAACTTCATTTTTTTAAATACGACCCTGGATTTTTTATTTCAGATTTTAGGAGCTTCTGATATCCCAAAACTTATGTCGTATCACATTTATTTGGAAACATATATTTTTTATTAAAAATAAGGGTTCGTATTCAAGAAAATTAAGTTGATGGTGGGGGCCTAAAGACGAAACGTCAGATTTTAAATTTGATGCTAGCATCCTGTAGGAAAAAAAAAGTGGCTATGATGAAGTGACATTTTCTTTTAAGTATCTCTTCAAATAAAGTCAAAAAAAAAATAAATAGAATTTTGCAAAATTTCGATTTTTTCCGGATATCTCTGGAAGTATTCGGAATATCCTAAATATCAAAGCGGCATTCTGTTAAGCATCAAATTATGCAACTTTGCCCCAATTTAACCAACCCTGTATCTCTCACCTTTTCCCAGATCTCAATGATGTGGCTCGAATTTGGAGCTCCGGGCTTTTGAATACCAAAAACCTCATTAAAAAAAATATTTAAACAAAGGTAATTACAAATTGGTGCTAAACTAAAAACTGCTTGTCCCCTTTTTTTGGTGAGCAGTTTATTTGAATCTTAATAAATGTTGAATCACCATATTTATATATATCTATAGGAAAAGGATATACGTTGGCGATATGACTAGTAGTGACTTTTCAACCCCTGAAAAGCGAAAAAAAAATATCAAAATTCTAAAAACTACAATAACCTGCCAAAGGAAAAAAATACACACATTACAAAATCAAGTTAGACGACTTAAATCATTAAAAGACTTGTTGAAAGTTTTAAGGAAAAAAGATTTTATTACTGAAGCAGCTGAGTCATCTATAAGGGTGAGTATTTTTCTTTTAGGGGTAACATGTTAGGTCTTAGATATATTCTTGTGTTTACTTATTGAGTATGTTTTTTTTAGGCTTCGGTAACAGGACCTGCTGCCGACATCTTTGAAAACCTACTAGTTGGCAAGCAGAGATACAATGAATCTCTAAAAACCTTTGCACTCACGTTAGCTTTCTATTCTCCAAGAGCCTACAATTTTGTGAGAAAGACTTTCAATAAATCGTTACCACATTTAGGAACCATCTCGGCTTGGTATAGAACGGTAAATGGAAGTCCAGGATTTTCGACTGAGGCATTAAGTGCTTTAAAAGCAAAACAAGAAAGCACCAATTACCCATTGCTTTGTAATTTAGTTATGGATGAGATGTCCATAAGGCGTCAGGTAGAATGGACTGGAACAAAGTTCACTGGTTATGTTGATATTGGTACAAATATTGAATCAGACGTTCTACCTGAAGCCAAAGAAGTTTTAGTGTTCATGGTAGTGTGTTTAAATGGAATGTGGAAAATTCCAGTAGGTTATTTTTTATTAGATGGTTTAGCGGCAATGGAAAAAGCTAATCTAATTAAACAATGCTTACGGTTCGTACATGAAAGTGGAGTACGTGTAACATCGTTTACTTTTGATGGGGCACCGGTCAATTTTAAAACAGTGGAGAGTTTGGGAGCTAATTTTTCCGACCACCAGAATTTAAAAACATCATTTAATTACCCAGTAACCAATGAAGAAATTTATATCTTTTTAGATCCATGCCATATGATTAAACTTGTAAGAAACTGTTTTGCAAGTCAGGATGGCATTACTGATTTGGCAAATAGGGATATAAAATGGAAATACATTTCGGAATTGGTTAAGTTGCAAAACACAGAGGGCTTGCATGCTGCAACTAAAATACGTTTGCGGCACTTACAGTGGGAAAGGGAAAAAATGAAGGTTCGCCTTGCTACTCAAACCATTAGTAAGAGTGTCAGCGATGCGATAACTTTTTTGAGGGAAGATTTGAAAATTGAGCAATTTTCTGATTCTGAGGCAACTTCAGAGTTTTTATTGAAATTCAATAATCTTTTTGATATCCTGAACTCTAGAAATAGGTTTAATAAATATATCTATAAAAGACCTCTCTCCCCTCAAACTATTCCACTGTTTTTAAATTTTTTTCGAGGAAATGAAAAATTACATTTTTAATTTAAAATTGAAAGGTAGGCCAATTCTGAATTCTGGTAGGAAAACGGGGTTTTTGGGATTCTTAATTTGTATAGAGAGCATCAAAAAAATGTATACTGATTTAGTAGAGGGCAAAAAAATTTTAAAATATATTTTGTCATATAAATTATCGCAAGATCATTTAGAACTATTTTTTGGGGCAGTTCGAAGTCGTGGTGGGCATAACAATAATCCTACTGCTCGACAATTTGAAGCCGCTTTCAAAAGATTATTGGTTCACAATCAAATAACTGGACCTGAATCAGGAAATGCTGCAAATCTGACAAATATAACAATTTTGGCGTGCTCCAATAAAATAACAAAGCAAAAAACCTCTGAATATTCTTTAGTATTAGAAGATATAAACAAAGAAATTGAAACAAATTTTTTGGGATCAAATGCATGGGACTTGACTTTATATTCTGAAGATATTGTGGCGTACATTTCAGGATATGTGGTGAAGAGCATGAAAAAATGCGTCATCTGTAGTACATGTTTGGGTTTATTGGAAAGCGACTTATCAAAATCACTTCTTTTAGAACGAAAAAAATATGGTAAATTACATAAAGGCAGTCACTTAGTAATAGAAACATGTAAAACAGCGGAACGGTTTTTTAGGTTCTTCCATAAAACGAAAAACATTTTCAACAAAAATATTAAAAATATTAGTGATACTTTAATAATAAACAGTTTGAAGGTATTACCATCTTCCATCTGGGACTGTTTTGGGGATCACGTTTTTGATAACGAAATATTGAGCGACCACCACATTCAACTGGTCAAACTCATATTAAAAAAATTATTTCAGAATTCGTATTTATTATTGGACATCATAGGACAAGAAGCCTTAGCACAAAATTAGTATTATTCAGAAATGAATAAAATGTTATTTTTGTATAATACCTACATGCAGTAAGTTCATAAAATCCAGCATAAATTCATTATTTTAGTCTTTAGAATAGGCAAAACTTTTGAGAAATCGCTCAGACACGTCAATTCTGTTAGAAATCTTTTCATATATTTTGTATTAGGGTGCCCCAAAAATTGCACAGTAAACAAAGTTGATTTCAACACAGCTATTTTTGGAAAACCCTGGATAATAAAAAAATATGGATTTTTTTTCTAACAACATTGATTTGTCTAAGCGATTTTTCAAAAATTTTGCCGTTTTAATAGTTATTTGTATACTAAGGCCGCGAAATGCCTTTTTAGCGTACGTATAGAAAACTTATCAACTATAAGAATTATTTAAAGTTACAGAAACACTGTATGGATTTGACACATTTGTAAGTAAGGTGTGGCGGCCGCTGAAGCTCATTTCGCGGATGGCTGCACATAATAGTTATTTGTATACTGAGGCCACGAAATGCCGTTTTAGCGTACGTAAAGCAAAGTTATCGCCGAGGCCGTCTGCGGCCAACCAAGGTAAGATAATCTCGAGGACGCTAAAAAGTTTCGCAGTCATGGTATATTTTTTGTGATTGTAAAAATTATGTGATGTTACAGAAAAACTTTTTGAATTTGACACATCTTGCACGTAAGGTGTGGCGGCCGCGAAAGCTCATTACGTGGGCTGTTGCACAAAAAAAATGATTAATTTATGCGGGGACTTCATTGTATAATGAGAGATTTTTAATGTAACAAAGAAATTGTTCTATAATTTGCCCATTTATTAATAAATTATATCTTTTAAAAATGCTCGACTTTTTCTCTTGAATAAAATAGGTTAAGTTATTCAAATTTGGAAATAAAAGTTTTGAAATACGATCCTCTACCTATTTTCCCTTTATTTCTTTCATTTTGGTTAGTTTATTTATAATTCATTAATTTGTAAATCGGTGAGCAGTAACCAGTACGCCACTGGCGGCATAACAAGTCACAACTTCTACAGCGTTGCCAATAAGCTCCTTGAAGCTGACAAGGATATGTCTTTCCTTTTTGCACTCATTACTTGTTTACAAGCAATGTTGGATCGCGTTTGGAGGCATTTTATGAATGAATCATTTTGTCTCCCGAGTTCTTAGGTCTGTGGGTGAAACATTAACTTAATTTTTTTTTTTGAAAAGAACACCCCCTGTATATTTTCTAATAATCAAATGATTAATGAATATTACCTATTAATTATACCTAGACAATATTTTGTTCTTGGCAACTACGATTGGTATAATATTTCAAAAACCTGTGAAAGAAATATGAACAAATTATTATATATTTTTGAAATCAGGGAAAAAATGTCTATTCGATTATTAAAAAATATACAGGGTGTTCCATTTAAAAAAAAATACAAATTGTGTCCGCAAAATCTTTTAAAAATTTTGTTTCTTCCAGAAATTTTTCTCAATTGTTAAATAAATAAAAAAATAATCACTTACCTTTGATTATGCTTATTATCTTCATCTAAACTGTCATATAATATGTCATGAACCCTATTCTCTTTAAATTCCTTATGATGATTATCATCAATATTTAAATCAAGAGTTTTAAATTGATTACTTTCCATAATAAAACAATAATTAATTATCTATTATACAATAATTATGTATCTTTATCATACATATAAAAGTAGATTTAGATTAGAAAAAAAAAAAAAAACAATTTTTTCAGACTCTCTACTGAGGAAGTTGCTATTCGATTGAAACGATCACAAAAACTGAGTCACAGGAATTCGCCGTTTTACCTGTTTGTTTTCAGCGCGACATGCGCCCTGGATAGCCGAATTCCTACGGGAATAATTTTCGTGTAAACAAAAATTAAAGCGGTCGCATTCCGCACGTGTTTTCCCGCGACCGAAATCCCTGAAACGTGGAAATATTTTCCAGGAAATGTGTTGTCTATTCCTAGAAACAAGTATAAAGGTGGTGTTCCAATTACCCCATTTCTTTATGAGTTCAATAATACATTGTGAAGAATCAATGACCTATTGAAAAATGCTGTAGATTTTATTGTTGTTAAAAATAAATTGTTTTTAAAATTTGGGGTAGGTAATTAACATACAAACAGGTAATTAGCAAAGACTCAATACAAAAGTTTTGACGCACAAAAAAGCTTAAAATAAAATCAAATTCAGACTATTTTGCCAATAAAATGATATTTTTTTCATCCTTGTTTTTTTGAATTATTGCTAGTTTGACCTATTTTCGCTCTACGGAAATAAAAACTATGAGGGTATTTTTTGCAATTCTACTAGTAAAGTTTTAAAAGAGGGACTCAAAAGGTGAATTTATCAATAATACAATTGACTTTATTTAATTTTAAGCCACTGTAGGGCCTGATTCAGGAATTTTTTTGTAACCTTGGTAAGATTTCTATCAGAAATAAGAAAATTATAATAGTTTAAATTATAGGAGCTCAATTTGAATCTTAAAATATCGCTCAAAACTAATTTTGCGGTTACAAAAGTTTCCTACAATCTACTTGTCTCTCTCACTCTTATGGATATAAGTTCAGTGTTTCAATCTGAAGAGCAATAAATTGTAAAAAAAATCGATAATCTTGAATTTTTCAGAAATACAAGAAATTCAAGAGCCTGGAATAAGGAAAATTATGAATTTCCATTGTTCTGGATCATTGAAATAGTAAAATTTATTGAAATTATGGGGCTTTTTAATTACAGGAATCTGTAAAATCATGTCTACTGAACTGTCACTGTTTTGATTTTTGAGGTTAGGTTTCTTGTTTTTGTGGTTTGGTTTTGAAAGTCCGGAGTGTCTTTATTTTCCTCTCTTAAATTTGTTGTTAAATTGTTAATAATATAAAAGAAAATTTGCTGTTAATATTCCAGTTTTCCTTGTTTTCACCATGACCACTTTAAGGCCTTTTTCCTGTACCGACATGTATCGGTTCAACAATGTGTAAGTATGCCTATCAACTATCTGAATTAGAATTGCAAATATTTCATTTATCTACGAGCGTGCGGTAAAGTGTACTTTATCGCACTTATTTACAAGTTAAAAGTAGCACTTTACACTATACAGTAAAGTTACTTTGCAACTGAGTGTGTGTTAAAGTAGACCCTCGAGTAGAGCGCAAAGTGTGCGGTACAGTAAACTTTGATATATCCCATACACTAAATAATTCTGAGATTTGAAGCTAGAATCTATGAAAAAAAGCACTCAGAAAATTGATAAATTTACCCTCGAATTTACCACAAATTGCTTAACTTGATTTTATTTTATATCTGAAACTTATCAAGTCCAAACTCGAGTCCAAATGAGCTGAAATTTTTAGGGATTGTAGTCCCTTGGTTGGGATAAAATTCAGTAAAAGTTTCAGTTTTCTATCTATAATAGAAAAAAAGTTATGACCTTTCAAAGTTTTCCAAAATCTAAATGATAAGCTCGATCAAGGTAGGTCATACCTTCTTACTAAAGCTAAAACGATGAAATTTCAAATTTTTTTTCGTCGAGATTTTCTATTTTAATGGTCAATCAACATATCCCAAACTCCATACACAGAATTATTCTCAGATTTGAAGCCGAAATTTATGAAAAAAGGCACTCAAAAAAATTGAAAAATTGATAAATCACCCCAAATTGCTTAACACGATTTTATCCCAGGAACTATAAGTGCAAATGAGCTGAAAAGAGATTGCAGTCCCTTAATTGGGATAAAATTCAGTGAAAGTTTCAGCTTTCTATCTATAATAGAAAAAAAGATATGACCTTTCAAAGTTTTTTAAAATCTAAATCATAAGGTACCTTCTTACTAAAACAATGAAATTTCAATTTTTTTTTACCATTAGGATACAAAACCTAATGGTCAATCAACATACCCCAAACTCCATACACTTAATTATTCTCAGATTTGAAGCCGAAAGCTATGACAAAAGGCACTCAGAAAAATTGAAAAATTGATAAATCACCCCAAATTGCTCAACACGATTTTATCTCAGGAACTATACGTGCAAATGAGCTGAAATTTTCAGGGATTGTAGTCCCCTGATTGGAATAAAATTGTGCGAAAATTTCAGCTTTCTGTCTATAATAGAAAAAAAGTTATGACTCAAGATTTTGTATCCTAATGGTCAATCAACATATCCCAAATTCCATACACTAAATTATTCCCAGATTTGAAGCCAAAATTGAGGGGGTTACAACTGGACCAAAATTTGTACATGTATTGCGCATTACATGTTTTTTTGAAGTAATTCCGGTAATTCCAATGTGTAAAAGTTTTAATAATCATTAAAAGATAAGAGTGAAATTTTTCTGGATGTTGCCGTAATTCCTCATATAAATGGTGATATTCGCGTGATCGAAGTTTGCTTCTGTTTATATGATGTGCACTGCACCTTCTTTTTTTCTTTCTGTCTCATTAAATACCAAAATTTTTAAAGACGACGTTTCGGTTAAAACCAAATTATTCATTTTTATCTTTTTCACTCGAGTATTAACTCGCCACTATGTTCGCCGCTCCACTATGTGCTTAGCCGATTTCCGAAATCGATGTACAAATTGTGGTGAGTGAGCCGCCCCTCGATAAAAATCTAAATTAAAAAAGATTCTGAAGCTTTGCAGCAGCAAAACTATTGAAGTTGTATTGAAATAATTCACAGGGGAGAATTTAATTGAAGCCTAATTACGTTAAGATCGGATTGAAATTTACAAAGTTGTGAGGCAAAACTTGTTTTTAATTTCCATCCGAAATTCCTTGAAATTCTTTCGAAATCCTTTAGAAATACCGAAATCCATTCAAAATCGCGAACAGCGAAATCCTATCCGAAATCCTTCTGAAATCCCGGAATCCCAACCGAAATCTTTCTGAAATCCCGAAATCTCAACCGAAATTCTTCTGAAATCCCGAAATTCCAATAAATTTTTCGAAATCCTTAGTGGTACGGCGTTGAAAGTCGAATATCCGAATCTTTCGAAATCCCTTGAAAATTGTCGAAATCTTATGCGATCTCCGAAAGCAATGTACAAATTGTGGTGAGTGAACCCCCCTCCGAAATCGCTGTACATTTTCATCCGAAATTCCTTGAAATTCTTTCGAAATCCTTTGGAAATCCCAAAATCTATTCGAAATCGTGAACAGCGAAATCCTATTCGAAATCCCTATGAAATCCCAACTGGAATTATTCTTTCTGAAATCCCGGAATCCCAACTGAAATCCTTCTGAAATCTCAACCAAAATCCTTCTGAAATCCCGAAATCCCAATAAATTTATCGAAATACTCGAAATCTCAAATTGTGGTGAGTGAGCCCGCGCCCCTCGGAAATGTTTCTGATCTAATGATTTTTATTGATTCCAATTCCAATTCAAATTCAATTCAAATCAAATATCAAATCAAATCAATATCAAATTCAAATGATTTATAAAAATGTGTCCTACACATTGTAGTACGTCATTATTGTAAAGCTATATGAAATTTTCTAGATCATTTTTCAAAATCCATTGAATTATGTACCTAGTGATTGTCGGACATTTTAATTCATTACATGTATAGCAAAGTTGTAAGGTTAACAAGAAACTATAAAATATAGATAACTTTACATACACAGTGTGAGCCAAAAAAAAGTTGCAGTAGAATATTTAGGTATTTGTTTCAAATGGGACACCCTATATATGGGCTCATATGAATAAAACAGGAGCAAATGCTTTTTACTCATGTTTTTTGAGATAAACATATTCAGCTTTAATGCAGCAAAAAGAGATGGAGGTAGAGTAAAAGCATTTTTGCTATACTTTATTTATATGACTGATTATGTTATTTTTGGATTGTACGCAAAAAAAAAATTCTATCTTAACATTTCAATAGCTATCTGATAATGGTGGTACCCATTGCATGGTGGTCTCGATGATGGTAGTATGGATACCAAATTTGGTACCACCATTATAACAACCTTTGAGTAGCTCTCAAGTATAGTCAAGCTAGAACAGGAAACTGGAAAGTGAAACTCGTTTTCTCTGTGCAAATCGCTAACAACACACAAGCTTTCTAACTTTTTTCTACCAATGAAATTCGCTCCGATTGGTTTGTGGTTTCAGTTAGAACAGACCTATTAATATAGGGTGTCTCATTTAAAACAAATACATATTTTACGGTAACTTATTTGTTTCACCCTGTATATGTAAAATTATTTTCATTTTATAGATACACAAACTTACCCAAAGATATTTTTAATATTGGGATTGGTATTGTTTTAATATGAATATGATCTCTCAGTGAAGATTTGGAAAATTTGAGGGTTAAAATCAACCGTAACTCAATTGAATGCAAACGTAATTTCGCGATATTCGTAAGTAATGCCTGGTAATGCCAGCATATTCCCTGGTTATACCCAGTAATGTCTCATGGTGCCAAAGTAATACCACCCTAATGCCGGTAATTCCGCAGTAATAGTAATGCATCGTTATGCGCATGTAATGCTTTGTAATGCAATAAAATTTGTAGATGTATTGCCACCAGTTGTTACCCCCCTCAGCCAAAATCTATGAAAAAAAGGCCGATAAAAAGGCACTCAGAAAAATTGAAAAATTGACAAATCACCCCAAATTACTTAACTCGATTTTATCTCAGGAACTATAAGTGCAAATAAGCTGAAATTTTCAGGGATTGTAGTTCCTTGATTGGGATAAAATTCAGTGAAAGTTTCAGCTTTCTATCTATAATAGAAAAAAAGTTATGACCTAAAGTTTTCCAAAATCTAAATCATAAGGTCGAGATTTTGTATCCTAATGGTCAATCAACATACCCCAAACTCCATACACTAAATTATTCTTAGATTTGAAGCCGAATTCTATCAAAAAAGGCACTCAGAAAAATTGAAAAATCGATAAATCACCCCAAATTGCTTAACACGATTTTATCTCGGGAACTATAAGTGCAAATGAGCTTTTCAGGAATTGTAGTCTCTTGATTGGGATAAAATTCAGTGAAAATTTCAGCTTTCTATCTTCAATAGAAAAAAAGTTATGATTTTTCAAAGTTTTTAAAAATCTAAATCAAGTTAAGATTTTGTGTTTGAATCAATGACTTTACCTACCTGAGTTCAGTAAACAATCACTTTCTGTATTTGTTATGTTAATAACTATTACCTTAAACCTCAACAAATCCTAATTCGTTTTTCTATTTTTCAAAGCAACTTGGATCCTCTCACAGAAACCTACGGATTATCCTTTTACATGCAATACTTGGCCCATTGGCCTGAGTATTTTCAAGTTGCCGAATCACCTAGCGGAGAAATAATGGGATACAGTAAGGCTAAACACCAAGTAATTTAAAATCCCAACAAACAAATACATTTTTAGTCATGGGCAAGGCAGAAGGTGTTGGTGAAAACTGGCACGGGCACGTAACAGCCCTGACAGTTTCTCCAGATTTTAGACGAATCGGACTGGCTGCTAGTTTGATGAACTTTTTAGAAGAAGTATCTGAAAAGTATGGATTCTAATTAAAAATATAAAACCCATTTATATGAGTATCTAATTTTTTTCAGAAAACGTGCCTATTTTGTGGACCTATTCGTAAGAGTTAGCAATCAAATTGCTATAAAAATGTACACCAATTTAGGCTATATTGTTTATAGAACGGTGCTGGAATATTATAGTGGAGACCCTGATGAAGATGCTTACGGTAAATGCAAATTATTTTAAGACACACAGTTTAGTTTAATTAATTTTTTAGATATGAGAAAAGCATTATCTCGGGATGTGAATCAAAAATCTGTTATACCTTTAGTCCACCCTGTACGGCCTGAAGAAGTCGATTGAGTTAGGTAATAATTATGTTATATGATAATAAATGCTTCATTTTTTGTCTTGGCTGCGTTAGTAATTTTTGTATTTGGACAAATATATTTATTTAAATAATATCAAAAGCTACATACAAATACAACTTATGTCTAAACAAAATCCTAGCAAAACTTAATAATAAACTACGTACCTATAGTTCTTTGGCTTTAAGTACCATTGAAAAAATAAAATAAATATATTATGTAAAAATACCTATTATTAATACTGTGTAATAATTTTTTTTTTTAATTGAAATTGATTCCCTATTATACAATTACTATTATTTGAATTTGTACCATTTGTGTATGTCTTCACAGGCACTTTTACCAAAAAATGTATTTAAGTACAAATGTGAGCTATAATAATTATTATGAGAATAATAAAGTAAACTAAAATACAAATAATACACACAAAACAAAAATAACGGTTTATACAATAATAAAAAAATAAATAATACTTATTTAGCTAAAATTCATTGTAAGCGACATTACATTTATATATATTTTTTTTTTCTGGAAAGCATTTTGGCACATAATTACATTTTAACAATAATTAGCGGAATGTTGTGAACCAAAATAAGCTTTTTACATAATACAAAAATTCGTAAAGTGAGCTTCAAAAATTGTCATTACACTGCCGAGTGTTTTCCAATAATCTCTCCAGACTTTGTGTAAACTTGTCGGCCGTCAAACTCGACGCTGATGGATTTTTCCACAGGTTGATTCAAGGGTTCTTTTTCTTCACTGAAAACAAAGTTAATATGTTTTAGTTTATGTAGGGGAGTTGTTTCATCTAAACAACTAAAATCATGCTTGTTTGAATTCTAATAATATTTTGTACAAGGCAGGCCTCATGCAAAAAAAATAATATGATGGTATAAGGAAAAGTGCTTGTGTCCTTTAAAAGGTTGCATCAATTTTGTTTTTGGGAGATTGAAAAGGGACATGTTTATCTCAAAAGGGGGAAGTCACTTGCGATTTTTTAGGACAGAAAATGTATCTGATCGAATGATTTTTATTGATTCATAAAAATGTAGGCCTTGTCCTACACATTGTAGTACGTCATTATCGTAAAGCCATATGAAATTTTCTAGATCATTTTTCAAAATCCATTGAATTATGTACCTATTGATTATCAGACATTTTAATTCATCACATGTATAGCAAAGTTGTAGGGTTAACAAGAAGCTATAAAATATAGATAACTTTTGGGAGATTGAAAAGGGACATGTTTATCTCAAAAGGGGGAAGTCACTTGCGATTTTTTAGGACAGAAAATCTCCATTTGTGGAGATTTTCTTGAAAATCCATAGATCTCTATATCCTTGGATCTTCATGCAGATCATTTGGATTTCCTTGGATTTTCTGCCACTTTGTCCAAAAGTTTCCACACAAAAATTGGATGTGAAAGTTCAAAATAGGAAGTTATGTTATAATCAAGGGGCAACTCAGTCACCATAATTTGTATATTGATTTCGGAAATTGCAGGAGATTTTAACAATTTTTTAAAGATTTGGAAAGATTTCGGATATTTGAATTTTGATTCTACACCACTAAAGATTTTAAATATCAATAAGTCCATTGGGATTTTGGAAGGATTTCAGATGGATTTCAGGTAAGATTTCGCGATTTCCAACAGGGTTGGCAAAAACCCAAAGTTTTGAAAATTTCTATTGGGTTTTTGTGGGTTATGGTGATAGTTTTTGTTGTAGGGTTTTGCACCTCAAAAGCTTGAAAGTTCTAGAATAATTTTTCAGTAAATTTTGAAGATAAGATCATTTTTTAGGTCTACAATGACTTGGTAGTTCAAAAACAGACGAGCAAAGTTATTTTCTGTGCTCAGTCTTCAATTTTAATCCGTTCTGGGGTAGTTTATCAATTGATTTTTGGCCTGAGATCAGTTTTAGTTGCTCTAACATCCTACTAGATGGAAGAGCAGAGTCGTGTTTTGAGCTTAATGTTCAATTTGAATTTGTTCTAGAATAATTTTCCAATAGATTTTGAAGATAAGATCATTATTTCTCAACCCTACAATGACTTGGTAGTTCAAAAACAGAAGAGCATAGTTATTTTTTGTGCTCAGTCTTCAATTTGAATCCGTTCTGGGGTAGTTTATCAATTGATTTTTGGCCTGAGATCAGTTTTAGTTGCTCTAACATCCTACTAGACGGAAGAGTAGAGTCGTGTTTTGAGCTTAATGTTCAATTTGAATTTGTTCTAGAATAATTTTCCAATAGATTTTGAAGATAAGATCATTATTTCTCAATCCTACTACGACTTGGTAGTTCAAAAACAGAAGAGCAAAGTTATTCTTTGTGCTCAATCTTCAATTTGAATCCGTTCTGGGGCAGTTTATCAATTGATTTTTGGCCTGAGATCATTTTTAGTTGCTCTAACATCCTGCTATTTCAAAAACTGAAGAGTAGAATCGTTCTATGAGCTTAATCTTCTATTTTAATCTGTTCTAGAATAAATTTCCAGTAGATTCTGGAGATAAGATCGTTTCTCAAGCCTACAACGATTTAGTAGTTCAAAAACAGAAAAGCAAAGTCGTTTTTGCAATGGAAAGTAACAACATGAAAAATCATAGAAAGGAACTTACCAAAATTGAAATAATTGTTAATACAGTCTCACACATTTCATAGTTTTCCTGGAAAACTAGTAGAGGGAAAATTTTGAAACTTTTTGTATGTAAAGAGGAAGGTGAGAAGCTCATTTTCCCAAAATTTTAAGTTTTTCCAGTGGAAAATAACAACATGAAGAATCTTGGAAATCAACCTCCAATAACTGAATTAATGGAAAATACAGTCTTACAGATTTCAAAGTTTTCCTGGAAAATTAGTGAAGGGAAAATTTTGAAACTTTTTGAATGTGAAGAAGGAGGTTAGAGGCTCATTTTCCCAAAATTTCACATTTTTCCAGTGGAAAATAACAACATTAAGAATCTTGGAAATCAACCTACAAAAACTAAATTAGTTGAAAATATAGTCTCACACATTTCAAAGTATTCCTGGAAAACTAGTGGAGGGAAAATTTTGAAACTTTTTGCATATGGAGAGGAAGGTTAGAGGCTCATTTTCCCAAAATTTTACATTTATCCAGTGAAAAGTCAACCTACAAAAACTGAATTTGTTGAAAATGCAGTCTCACACATTTCAAAGTTTTTCTGGAAAACTAATTAAGGGAAAATTTTGAAACTTTTTACATGTGAAGAGGAAGGTGAGGAGCTCATTTTTCCAAAATTTAAAATTTTTCTAGTGGAAAATAACAACATGAAAAATTTTGGAAATCAACCCACAAAAACTGAATTAGTTGAAAATACAGTTTCACACATTTCAAAGTTTTTCTGGAAAACAAGTGGAGGGAAAAATTTGAAACTTTTTATAGGTAAAGAAGAAGGTGTGAAGCTCATTTTCCCAAAATTTTAAATTTTTCCAGTGGAAAATAACAACATGAAGAATCTTGGAAATCATCCTACAATAACTGAATTAATTGAAAATACTGTCTCACTCAATTCAAAGTTTTCTTAGAAAATTAGCGAAAGGAAAATTTTGAAACTTTTTGCATGTAAAGAGGAAGGTCAGAGGCTCATTTTTCCAAAATTTCAATTTTTTTTAGTGAAAGATAACAACATAAACAATTTTGGAAATCAAGTTACAAAAATTGAAATAATTGTTAATACAGTCTCACACAATTCAAAGTTTTCCTGGAAAACTAATTAAGGGAAAATTTTGAAACTTTTTGCATGTGAAGAGGAAGGTTAGAGACTCATTTTCCAAAAATTTCAAATTTTTCTAGTGGAAAATAACATGAAAAATTTTGGAAATCAAGTTACAAAAACTGAAATAATTGTTAATACAGTCTCACACAATTCAAAGTTTTCCTGGAAAACTAATCAAGGGAAAATTTTGAAACTTTTTACATGTGAAGAGGAAGGTCAGAGGCTCATTTTCATAAAATTTCAAATTTTTCCAGTGGAAAACAACAACATAAAAAATCTTGGAAATCAATCTCCAATAATTGAATTAATTGAATACAGTCTTACGTAGTCTTACACATTTTAAAGTTTTCCTATAAAACTAGTTAGAGGCTCATTTTTCCAAAATTTCAAATTTTTCCAGTGGAAAATAACAAAATGAAGAATCTTGGAAATCAACATACAAAAACTGAATTGGTTGAAAATACAGTCTCACACATTTCGAAGTTTTCCTGGAAAACTAATTAGGGGAAAATTTTGAAATTTTTTGCATGTCAAAAGGAAGGGTGAGAAGATCATTTTCCCAAAATTTCAAATTTTTATAGTGGAATATAACAACATCAAAAATTTTGGAAGTCAAGTTACAAAAACTGGAATAATTGTTAATACAGTCTCACACATTTCAAAGTTTTCCTGGAAAACTAGTGAAGGGAAAATTTTGAAACTTTTTGCATGTGAAGAGGAAGGTTAGAGACTCATTTTCCAAAAATTTCAAATTTTTCTAGTGGAAAATAACATGAAAAATTTTGGAAATCAAGTTACAAAAACTGAAATAATTGTTAATACAGTCTCACACAATTCAAAGTTTTCCTGGAAAACTAATCAAGGGAAAATTTTGAAACTTTTTACATGTGAAGAGGAAGGTCAGAGGCTCATTTTCATAAAATTTCAAATTTTTCCAGTGGAAAACAACAACATAAAAAATCTTGGAAATCAATCTCCAATAATTGAATTAATTGAATACAGTCTTACGTAGTCTTACACATTTTAAAGTTTTCCTATAAAACTAGTTAGAGGCTCATTTTTCCAAAATTTCAAATTTTTCCAGTGGAAAATAACAAAATGAAGAATCTTGGAAATCAACATACAAAAACTGAATTGGTTGAAAATACAGTCTCACACATTTCGAAGTTTTCCTGGAAAACTAATTAGGGGAAAATTTTGAAATTTTTTGCATGTCAAAAGGAAGGGTGAGAAGATCATTTTCCCAAAATTTCAAATTTTTATAGTGGAATATAACAACATCAAAAATTTTGGAAGTCAAGTTACAAAAACTGGAATAATTGTTAATACAGTCTTACACAATTCAAAGTTTTCCTGGAAAACTAGTGAAGGGAAAATTTTGAAACTTTTTGCATGTCAAGAGGAAGGGTGAGAAGATCATTTTCCCAAAATTTAAAATTTTTCCAGTGAAAAACAGTAACATGAAAAATATTGGAAATCAACCTACAAAAACTGAATTAGTTGAAAATACAGTCTCACACATTTCAAAGTTTTCCTGGAAAACTAGTGAAGGGAGAAATTTGAAACTTTTTGCATGTAAAGAGAAAAGGATAGAAGCTCATTTTCCCAGAATTTCAAATTTTTCCAATGAAAAATAACAACATAAGGAATATTGGAAATCAACCTACAATAACTGAATTAATTGAAAATATAGTCTCACACATTTCAAAGTTTTCCTAGAAAACTAGTGAAGGGAAAATTTTGAAACTTTTTGTATGTGAAGAGGGAGGTTAGAGGCTCATTTTCCCAAAATTTCAAATTTTTCCAGTGGAAAATAACAAAATAAAGAATCTTGGAAATCAACCTACAAAAACTGATTTGGTTGAAAATACAGTCTCACACATTTCAAAGTATTCCTGGAAAACTAATTAAGGGAAAATTTTGAAACTTTTTACATGTGAAGAGGAAGGTGAGGAGCTCATTTTTCCAAAATTTAAAATTTTTCTAGTGGAAAATAACAACATGAAAAATTTTGGAAATCAACCCACAAAAACTGAATTAGTTGAAAATACAGTTTCACACATTTCAAAGTTTTTCTGGAAAACAAGTGGAGGGAAAAATTTGAAACTTTTTATAGGTAAAGAAGAAGGTGTGAAGCTCATTTTCCCAAAATTTTAAATTTTTCCAGTGGAAAATAACAACATGAAGAATCTTGGAAATCATCCTACAATAACTGAATTAATTGAAAATACTGTCTCACTCAATTCAAAGTTTTCTTAGAAAATTAGCGAAAGGAAAATTTTGAAACTTTTTGCATGTAAAGAGGAAGGTCAGAGGCTCATTTTTCCAAAATTTCAATTTTTTTTAGTGAAAGATAACAACATAAACAATTTTGGAAATCAAGTTACAAAAATTGAAATAATTGTTAATACAGTCTCACACAATTCAAAGTTTTCCTGGAAAACTAATTAAGGGAAAATTTTGAAACTTTTTGCATGTGAAGAGGAAGGTTAGAGACTCATTTTCCAAAAATTTCAAATTTTTCTAGTGGAAAATAACATGAAAAATTTTGGAAATCAAGTTACAAAAACTGAAATAATTGTTAATACAGTCTCACACAATTCAAAGTTTTCCTGGAAAACTAATCAAGGGAAAATTTTGAAACTTTTTACATGTGAAGAGGAAGGTCAGAGGCTCATTTTCATAAAATTTCAAATTTTTCCAGTGGAAAACAACAACATAAAAAATCTTGGAAATCAATCTCCAATAATTGAATTAATTGAATACAGTCTTACGTAGTCTTACACATTTTAAAGTTTTCCTATAAAACTAGTTAGAGGCTCATTTTTCCAAAATTTCAAATTTTTCCAGTGGAAAATAACAAAATGAAGAATCTTGGAAATCAACATACAAAAACTGAATTGGTTGAAAATACAGTCTCACACATTTCGAAGTTTTCCTGGAAAACTAATTAGGGGAAAATTTTGAAATTTTTTGCATGTCAAAAGGAAGGGTGAGAAGATCATTTTCCCAAAATTTCAAATTTTTATAGTGGAATATAACAACATCAAAAATTTTGGAAGTCAAGTTACAAAAACTGGAATAATTGTTAATACAGTCTTACACAATTCAAAGTTTTCCTGGAAAACTAGTGAAGGGAAAATTTTGAAACTTTTTGCATGTCAAGAGGAAGGGTGAGAAGATCATTTTCCCAAAATTTAAAATTTTTCCAGTGAAAAACAGTAACATGAAAAATATTGGAAATCAACCTACAAAAACTGAATTAGTTGAAAATACAGTCTCACACATTTCAAAGTTTTCCTGGAAAACTAGTGAAGGGAGAAATTTGAAACTTTTTGCATGTAAAGAGAAAAGGATAGAAGCTCATTTTCCCAGAATTTCAAATTTTTCCAATGAAAAATAACAACATAAGGAATATTGGAAATCAACCTACAATAACTGAATTAATTGAAAATATAGTCTCACACATTTCAAAGTTTTCCTAGAAAACTAGTGAAGGGAAAATTTTGAAACTTTTTGTATGTGAAGAGGGAGGTTAGAGGCTCATTTTCCCAAAATTTCAAATTTTTCCAGTGGAAAATAACAAAATAAAGAATCTTGGAAATCAACCTACAAAAACTGATTTGGTTGAAAATACAGTCTCACACATTTCAAAGTATTCCTGGAAAACTAATTAAGGGAAAATTTTGAAACTTTTTACATGTGAAGAGGAAGGTGAGGAGCTCATTTTTCCAAAATTTAAAATTTTTCTAGTGGAAAATAACAACATGAAAAATTTTGGAAATCAACCCACAAAAACTGAATTAGTTGAAAATACAGTTTCACACATTTCAAAGTTTTTCTGGAAAACAAGTGGAGGGAAAAATTTGAAACTTTTTATAGGTAAAGAAGAAGGTGTGAAGCTCATTTTCCCAAAATTTTAAATTTTTCCAGTGGAAAATAACAACATGAAGAATCTTGGAAATCATCCTACAATAACTGAATTAATTGAAAATACTGTCTCACTCAATTCAAAGTTTTCTTAGAAAATTAGCGAAAGGAAAATTTTGAAACTTTTTGCATGTAAAGAGGAAGGTCAGAGGCTCATTTTTCCAAAATTTCAATTTTTTTTAGTGAAAGATAACAACATAAACAATTTTGGAAATCAAGTTACAAAAATTGAAATAATTGTTAATACAGTCTCACACAATTCAAAGTTTTCCTGGAAAACTAATTAAGGGAAAATTTTGAAACTTTTTGCATGTGAAGAGGAAGGTTAGAGACTCATTTTCCAAAAATTTCAAATTTTTCTAGTGGAAAATAACATGAAAAATTTTGGAAATCAAGTTACAAAAACTGAAATAATTGTTAATACAGTCTCACACAATTCAAAGTTTTCCTGGAAAACTAATCAAGGGAAAATTTTGAAACTTTTTACATGTGAAGAGGAAGGTCAGAGGCTCATTTTCATAAAATTTCAAATTTTTCCAGTGGAAAACAACAACATAAAAAATCTTGGAAATCAATCTCCAATAATTGAATTAATTGAATACAGTCTTACGTAGTCTTACACATTTTAAAGTTTTCCTATAAAACTAGTTAGAGGCTCATTTTTCCAAAATTTCAAATTTTTCCAGTGGAAAATAACAAAATGAAGAATCTTGGAAATCAACATACAAAAACTGAATTGGTTGAAAATACAGTCTCACACATTTCGAAGTTTTCCTGGAAAACTAATTAGGGGAAAATTTTGAAATTTTTTGCATGTCAAAAGGAAGGGTGAGAAGATCATTTTCCCAAAATTTCAAATTTTTATAGTGGAATATAACAACATCAAAAATAAGTCAAGTTACAAAAACTGGAATAATTGTTAATACAGTCTCACACAATTCAAAGTTTTCCTGGAAAACTAGTGAAGGGAAAGTTTTGAAACTTTTTGTATGTCAAGAGAAAGGGTGAGAAGATCATTTTCCCAAAATTTGAAATTTTTCCAGTGAAAAACAGTAACATGAAAAATATTGGAAATCAACCTACAAAAACTGAATTAGTTGAAAATACAGTCTCACACATTTCAAAGTTTTCCTGGAAAACTAGTGAAGGGAGAAATTTGAAACTTTTTGCATGTAAAGAGAAAAGGATAGAAGCTCATTTTCCCAGAATTTCAAATTTTTCCAATGAAAAATAACAACATAAGGAATATTGGAAATCAACCTACAATAACTGAATTAATTGAAAATATAGTCTCACACATTTCAAAGTTTTCCTAGAAAACTAGTGAAGGGAAAATTTTGAAACTTTTTGTATGTGAAGAGGGAGGTTAGAGGCTCATTTTCCCAAAATTTCAAATTTTTCCAGTGGAAAATAACAAAATGAAGAATCTTGGAAATCAACCTACAAAAACTGATTTGGTTGAAAATACAGTCTCACACATTTCAAAGTATTCCTGGAAAACTAATTAAGGGAAAATTTTGAAACTTTTTACATGTGAAGAGGAAGGTGAGGAGCTCATTTTCCAAAAATTTCAAATTTTTCTAGTGGAAAATAACAATATGAAAAATTTTGGAAATCAAGTTACAATAACTGAATTAATTGAAAATACAGTCTCACACATTTTAAGGTTTTCCTGGAAAACTAGTGAAGGGAAAATTTTCAAACTTTTCGCATGTAAGAGAAAGGGGAGAAGCTCATAATTCCAAAATTTAAAACTTTTCCAGTGGAAAATAACAACATGAAGAATCTTGGAAATTAGTCTACAAAAACATTATTGTTTTGAATTTTTTAAATTTAGATCTGTAAATCATGAAGTGTAATTTTGGGAGAATTTCTTCAATGAAAATGAATGTCCAACGTTCAACACAAAACTAGATTTTTTTTTTTTAATTTCCATTAATTAGTGTTTCTTATAATAAGAATGTGAACCTCAGTGACGTTATGACTCTATAATTTCCTTTAAATTCTTCACAAATTCCTCCAAATTCCTCATAAATTTCTCTGAATTCCCTATAAATTCCCCAAATTCTCATAAATTTTGATGAGTTCCTTCAAATTCCCCATAAATTCTTCTAAATTCCTCACTTTTTTGACAAAGAATTCTTAGGTGGTTTGCCCAGTGAAAATAACGAATTTGTATGGGGTCCAGAACAAGAAAAATGTTAACAAAAGCTCCAGTTCTTGCAGCATATAATGTTAAATATGACCTCAGAGTATCTGCAAATACTTCTATGCTAGGGATAGGGGGAATAATTGAGCAAAAACAACCAGATGGAAATTGGAGACCTGTATCTTATTGTTCCACTAAGTAAACCGGAAAAAGGGTACAGTCAGATCGAGAAAGGAACTTCAAAAGATCAGAAGATTTCAACTTAGAACTACCTACTTGTAGATAGAAATAGAAAAGGTAACTAGCAACAGATGTCGGTACTTGACAAAAGTAATAAAGTTAGCTTCAAATAGAGTATTTTCTATCCGTCTTCTTACACCTGTATGCCACCTAAAGCTATAGGAAATTTACATGTCATGGAATAAAAAAGAAATCAACCCATAATTATCGTCCTACGAAATCAGCTAAAAAGCAAGTTCTCAATTATTCATTCTAAACACCCTGTAAACGTTATGCAACAAAGGATGCACAAAATTACAGAAATTCTTACGCAGCATCAGCACCAGTAGGCGATCCGGCCAGTTTGATCGGTTGAGGCAGATTGAGGGTGTTGGGGTGCGCCGGCGCCGCTTTGTAACTGCAATAAGGCAGCGGAAATCGCCAACTGTATAAACTAGAATAATTTTTGCAATGGTGTGTTTTGAGCTTAATAATGTGCCAGTGGTGTATATAGGTGGAATGAATATTAATTATGTTATTGAATACATTATTACCTTCCAAGTTTCGGATCTTCTTCGTCCTTTTTCTTCCTTTTGGTTCTTTCGCAGCACATTGCAATCAGACCTGTTCTGTTTACCAGGAAACAAGTCAGGTCTACTACAATTAGGATGATGATTACTGATGCCACAACGATTCCGATGATCATGGCGCTGCTCATTTGCGGATTGCTGTCTAGTGGAACTGGACCAATGCCTGGAAATTATCAACAACAATAATTAATTTTTGATGTCAATCTATTAATGGCCTACTAGGTGGTATTGCTATTATAATTATTTCCTATTTATAAAATAATAACATCGACTTTGGACTGTTAATTAAATGAGTCACCTTGAAAAAAATCATGAAAATTCTTACCATTAAAATAGCACTTTGGTGAATAATAGGAACACATTAGCAATATCACCGACCAGGCCAGAAACTAAAATCAACCCAACAAAACAAACTAGCAGCACGCTATTAGTAAAATGGGTAGATATAAAAACGGTATGTTATATGCAGGCCAGTAGATAAATATAATTTCCATTGGGTTGCACGAGAGTTACGCTACGTTGCTCGCTTTAAATTATTTACCAGCAGGCAAATAAATAATTATCATAAAATAGAATCTTCGCTAATTAAATTTCAAATTAATGTAGGTAACTCTCGTACAACAACATTTATTACAACAAGAGATTAATATAGGGAAAATTTGGTAGACAGTTTATAAGACATGCATCATCTAATACTAACACCGAAATACTAGAATAATTTTTATGTAACATGCACTAAAAGTTTTGTCGTAATAAATCACCCAACTACAAAACATATTACAGTGTCTTTTCCTCGGGAAATATAAGAATATAAATGTTTCCGCGTCAAACTTTATTTTCGTTTCCAAGAAATATTAGTTTTTGAAACTTTGGAGGGGAAAAATGAAAAATTGTTACTGTCTACCAAAAATTCTCAGTTTTGTTTATCTGCTATATTAATAATTGCGATCTTTGTTTTTCAAATGGCTAGAGAATTAAGTATGATTTGCTTTTAACGAGGCTTTTAATGACTTGATTGATGCAGGCAAAATGATGAAAATTGTTAAAAAACATATTTTTTGTACTTAAGTATAACATACTATAACCTCCCAAATTTTGAATAAAAATCTCATTTTTTATTGTTGATAAAAATATTTCTCATGCTTTTCAACTTCTCTTCAAATTTCCTTAATATTTCTTCAATTTTTGTAGGATTTTTCCAAACTTCCCTAACCTACTCATTGTTTTTTATGTATTTCCCCTGATTTCCACAAACTCTGCAATATCTGACTCACTTTTTTTTGCATTTCCTTGGATGAGAGTAAAAACTTTCCAGATCCTTTTCCTAATAAAATAACGGACTTATTTAGGAAAAACACAATTTACGAGATTGGAAAGCACAAAAATTGAAACTCTTTTCTCAATAATATATTTGGTCTCTTATGAGAAAAACTTTGAAATTAAAAACTGAGAAAAAATTTATCAAAATCTTTTTGTTTTTATTCCAGGCTGTTGAGTTTTTTCATTTTTCTCAATTTCAAGCGTTTACATTTCTCTTGTTCTTTTTTCATTTGGAAAACCCACAATTCAGGAGACTTGAAAACACAAAAATTGAAAAATATAGCTGAATATACAGATTTGTTAAAATTTAATGAGAAAATTCTGGAAAAAATTACTCAAAGACTATTTACAAAAAGTATCAAAAAATACAAAATTACTTCAAATTGGAAACTTCATTTGATGTGAATGTTCCAAAAAAATCTTGGCAAATGTGATAAATTATTGTTGTTGTTCCCAAGCAAAGATGAAAAAATTTGTGAATTGCCAAGTTAAAATCAAAGAAAATTCTCATTTTATATTTTACACGGTGTCCTTAGTTTTTTTGAGAAAAACGCAGAAAAATCCTACAGATAAGATGAAGATATTCCTCTAGATATTTTAAGGTGACATATTATACAGAATTATCCATGGAGATTGTGGTTTCCAATGAACAAACTCTAGAAATCAAGGGTTTAATTTTCCTGTTGATTCCCCTGAAACATTGGAAAATATGGAAGAGAATAATTTAATCCGTATCGTATGTGAGATCCAATTTAGAGGAAGCGAAATAGAGGGAGATAATTCAAAAGAAATTGTTGGGTTAAGTAGGCAAATACTTCTCTTCTATTCCAGGATTTTGAATTTTCTGTTTTTTTATTAATTCTAGAGCCAGGAATAAATTGAGAAATAGAGAAATAGAGAGAAGGAACAATTGGTAGATAAGTGAAAATTAATATTTTTTCTATTCCAGGCTCTTGAATTTCAAGAGCCTGGGAAGAGGAGGGAAAATTGTTGAAAACAAAATTATGAAATTTTCAGGAGAGTAAAAGGAGAGTTAAGAGCTCATCATACTAGAATTTGAAACTTTTTCAGTGAAAAATAAGGATATGGACAAATCAATGAAAATCAACTTGCAAAATTCAAATTGAACCAAAAAGAAACCTTTTACATTTGACTTTTTTCTGGAAAACTGTTCGAGGCAAAATTATGAAATTTTCAAGAGAGAAAGAGGAGAGTTGAGAGCTCATCATACTAGAATTTCAAACTTTTACAGTGAAAAATAACGACATGACAAATCAATGAAAAGTTGAATTCAAATTAAACACAAAAGAAACCTTTTAAATTTGATTTTTTTTCTGGAAAACTGTTCTAGGCAAAATTATGAAATTTTCAGAAGAGAAAGAGAAGAAATAAGAGCTCGTCATACTAGAATTTCAAACTTTTCCAGTGAAAAATAACGACATGGCAAATCAATGAAAATGAACTTGCAAAATCCAAATTAAACAAAAATGCCTTCTCCTACACTTTATTTTTTTTCTGGAAAACTACCCAAGGAAAAATTATGAAATTTTCAGGAGAGAAAAAAGGGAGTTAAAAGCTCATCACACTAAAATTTCAAACTTTTCTAGTAAAGAATATGGAAAACTAATGATAATCAACTTGCAAAATCCCAATTAAGCAAAAATGAGATACCTATCTCACATTCTATTTTTTTTTCTGGAAAACTATCCAAGGGAAAGGTAGGAAATTATTAGGAGAGATAGAGGACAGTCAGAGTACTTCCTACTTCAAATCTAAACGGTCCCTGCTCGGACGCCAAATTTGTAAGGCCTTCTGGCGGGTAGTGGAAAAAAAAGTAACTTCGTTACAAGTAAAAATTCAATCTTTCACATTTTTTTTTTCTGGGAAACTATCTAAGGGTAAATTATGGAATTTTCAGGAGAGTAAAAGAAGAGTTAAGAGCACATCATACTGAAATTTCAAACTTTTGGAGTTGGAAATAACGACATTGCAAATCAATGGAAATCAACTTGCAAAATCCTAATTATGCATGAATGCGTTCTCTCACATTATATTTTTTTTCTAGAAAACTGTTCAAGGCAAAATTATGAAATTTTTAGGAGAGTTAGGAGCTCATAATACTAGAATTTTAAACTTATCCAGTGAAAAATAACGACATAACAAACCAATGAAAATCAACTTGTAAAATCCTAATTAAGCAAAACTGCATTTTCTTAATTTCTATTTTTTTTAGGAGAGAAAGAGGACAGTTAGGAGCTCATCATACTAGAATTTCAAACTTGTTCAGTGAAAAATAACGACAAAATCCAAATTAAGCAAAAATGCATTCTCTTACACATTATTTTTTTTTTTGGAAAACTATTTAAGGGAAAATTAGGAAATTATTAAGAGAGAAACAGCTCATCATATTAAAATTTCAAACTTTTCTAGCAAAGAATACCGACATAGAAAACCAATGAAAATCAACTTGCAAAATCCCAATTAAGCAAAAATACGTTATCTCACATTCTATTTTTTTCTGGAAAACTATCTAAGGGAAAGATATGAATTAGGAGAAAAAAAAGACAGTCAGAGTACTTCCTACTTCAAATCTAAACGGTCCCTGCTCGGGCGCCAAATTTATAAGGCCTTCTGGCGGGCAGTGGAAAAAAAATAGTAACTTCGTTACAAGCAAAAATGCAATCTTTTACAATTTTTTTTTCTGGGAAACTATCCAAGGGTAAATTATGGAATTTTTAGGAGAGCGAAAGGAGAGTTAAGAGCACATCATACTGAAATTTCAAACTTTTCCATTTGGAAATAACGATATTGCAAATCAATGGGAATCAACTTGCAAAATCCTAATTATGCAAGAATGCGTTCTCTCACATTCTATTTTTTTTTTCTGAAAATCTGGTCAAGGCAAAATTATGACATTTTTAGGAGAGTTAGGAGCTCATTATACTAGAATTTCAAACTTTTCCAGTGAAAAACACCGACATGGAGAACCAATGAAAATCAACTTGCCAAATCCTAAAAAAGCTACTTAAATCAAGAAAAAAATTCTAAGATCTCTCGTAAAAACCGCAGTCCTGTATTCAAAATAGTTTCCGAGAAAATTCCTTGTGAAAATCAATTATGCAGGAAATTATGATGTCACAACCGCCAAAATCGCAGTCTTCTGGTCGTTCAGTCGTCAGTGAACCGTACCGTATACTTTGAGTGGTTGCAATTCGCTCTAGGAGATAATTATCTTTTGTTTTCGAGAATTCTCACAAGTGTTAATACTGTCCCTGAAAACCCAGTGTGACGTCACAAAAGCGTAGTTGTAACTTTAAACCGCTCTTACTCGAAAACGGACCATCGTAGCAAGATGCGGTTTGAATATTTATTCTTAGATTTTTTTTCACTAAAACTTTCATTTTTGGGTCACACCCCCTTTAAGCAAAACTGCGTTCTTTACATTCTATTTTTTTTCTGGAAAACTATCCAAAGGAAAACTATGAAATTATTAGGAGAGAAAGAGGACAGTTATAGGAGCTCATCATAATAAAATTTCAAACTTTCCCAGTGAAAAATAACGACATGGCAAAATTGTCGTAGTTTCGCTATCCGACTTGGAAGGTCGGTAGACAGTAACGAGGAATTGATTTTAAAAAAAAGGGAAAAAAAACACAATGAAAAAATAGAAGAAAAAAAAATCAGCGAACTTCACAAAGTCAAGGATGCGGTCAGAGTAGTTCCTATTTCAAATCAAAATGGTCCCTGCTCGGGCGCCAAAAAAAAATCAGCGAACTTCACAAAATCGCGGATACGGTCAGTGTAATTCCTACTTCAAATTTAAGCGGTCCCTGCTCGGGCGCC